TGATCCTTCCGCCCTTATCTGTTTAATTTATTTGAAATGATTTAGTTGATTAAAAGTAGCTCTTTTTTGTTAGGAATGATTTGATTTTTGTAAAAAAAAAAATCAAAAGTAAATTTTTAAATGTATTAAATTAAGTAAAGAAGGCATTTTAAAAATTATCTACAAAAGAGATTGGATTCAAAAAAAGTTTTGAAGATATTCCTAATTGAATTATATAAAAAAAATCCTTTTTAATCAAGATATTCTTCATTTTACATTGAATATTCACATTGGATTTTATATGCAATTTTTTTAAAAAACTTACTTTTAAGGTTTTTCATATTATAAGTCTAACTTTTTTAATGAGATATTTAATAATTTCTGATACCAAAGAATGATAAAAATACAAAATTTTAGAAAAATCAATAATTTTAAATGTTTAAAATGATTATTTCATTTGAAACAAAAAAATAAAATAAAAAACTTGTCAATTAAACAAACACAAACTCATAATTAATTTACAAGTAAAATTTCTTGTGCATATGCAATTCCAACATTGCACGTGAATGGAAAATATATATGTGGTTTCAAATTGTGTTATTCATTTCGATGACCACTTGAAACGATTTGCCATGTAACGAGAATGAGTCACTCATGGGCCTATCGAGAATAAGTCAAATTACTCACAAAGCTTCTCTCTCTCTCTCTCTCTCTCTCTCTCTCTCTCTCTCGATAGCCACATTAAAATTTGTTCATTTATAAAAAAATAATAATAATAAATAGTATTTATAATTTTTAAACTTTGAATCCAATTCTATTTTAATTTAAAAATTTTAAAAAATTTTAATTAGATTTCCAATTATTTAAAATTGTTTTAATTTAATTTTTTTGTTTATGAAATTATCAAAATTAATAGTAAATATTAACTAACAGCAAATGAAAAAATTAAAATAAAATTTTACTAAAATTTAAGGATTATTAACTAAAAAAAAAAAGTAAAAGATCTAAAACTCCAATTGTCTCATCTTTTACCTCTTAATTTTTTTAATAAAAAGGTCATAATCTAAAATTAAAAGAAAAAAAAAAGAATTATAGGTGTATTGACTTAAATTCTGAATTCTATTGGAGTTAATTTTAACTTCTAAATAATGCCTTGTTTTATTGGTGGTTTTGAAGAGTTGAAAGTCTTGGGGGAGAAGATAGTACCACTAGTTGATTAATGCTTCAATCAATTGACTGGGGCCTCACATCTTGGAACGACCGTCACTTGCAAACAATAAAATTAGCTAACACTTTTTTTAATGATAAATTTGGGGTTTTCTTAACCAATGTTCTAAAAATATATTTTTTTTACATTAACCTAGCATATTATTTATAATAATATTTTTGTATTAACTGAAGTAGTTAATAATTAATATGATAAAAATAGATGTTTTAATTGGTTTATATAGTTATTCAAAAAATAAAATTTAATAAATTTAATGTTTAATTTGTAATACATAAAATCTTTTAATTTATATTCAAATTATAATTTTTTTTATAAAAAAATATAATATGATAATCTTAAATTCAAAAAATGTATATATTAGTTAAATTAGAACTAAAATGTTTCAATCGTGACCAAAGTAATGATTTGTTTAATGTTAAAGTTGCTACTTGGAGTTTAATTAGTATTATTAAGATGGGAGGGGGAATAAGTAGGAGTCGAGAAGGAATTGTGAAATCCAAGTTGGCTCTTGAATAGTCAGAAGGGGTGGGAGAGGGTGGGAAGCAGCTAATCGTTTGTATAACTGTGGTCCCTTGTTCCCATTATCTTGTTTACCAAACAAGAAAGCATTTAATGAACAAGTCAATATCTAACAACCGCTAAATGGTTTGTTGGCTCTCAGTATAGATGGTTAAATGGGACAAGTTGGGACATTTTCATAGTTAAAAAGAAAATGAAAGATCCAATAAATCTTTTTTTTTTTTTATTTACAAATCATTCAACTTAAGTTTGATAGTTTGATTTTTTTTTTTTTTGTAATTTGAAATAATCTTCTTTCATTTCACAAATCTTATTACTTTTATTCCATTATTTAACCCTCTTGAATTCTAACTTCTTGAGTTTTTTTTTTTTTTTTCTCAATTTATATGCAATGTTATTCAATCATATAATTAAATAAAAAAATTTTTATAAATAAAAGCTAATTAATAAACAAATCATATATATATTATTATTATTACAGTATACGTGGACATTTTTTAAAGTTTACTACGTAGACGACTATATAGATAATTTTTTTTATGACACAAGATAATTTTTAAAAAAAGTAAGATAATTTATTTTAATTACAAAATAAATAATTTTAAATTTATTCAAATATTAAAATTATCTAAATTATAATTGAAAATAAAATCAATTTAGAGAGATATTTTTTTAAATTAAAAATCTGAAATATCAATTTCATCTTCTTAATAACTAATTATAGTTATATACTAAATAATCTTATTTAAGAAATTATATAATTATCAACATCTTTCAAATACATTTAAAAATTATAAAAATTAAGTTTATCTAAATCTTTCAGTAATCTTTTTTTAATTTTGATTTGAATCAACAAAGAAAATTATCTTTTAAAAAATTTATATAAAACATTGTAAATTCAAACAACTTTACGTAGGATATTAAAAATTTAAACAAATTTTCATATTAAATCTTTAAATATTAAAATCATCAAAAGAGTTATATACATCTCCGTTCTAATTATCAAATTTATATTTCAAATATATGTAAAAAATTTGATTTAATCTTTATTACTTATTATATCAATTTTAAATTTAAAAAAATTAATTTAAAAATTAATTATTTAATTCTAATTGACACTAAAAAATTCTTTTGTAAACTTAAAACTATAAATGTAATGTGCTATATTAATTTTTTATTTTTTTAAGTTTACAACTTTTTTTCAAGGTATATTCTATTGTTATTACAATTTTTTTTGTTTATAACTTTTTTTCCAAGTTATATTTTATTATTATTGCAATTTCGTTCTTATCAAAAGTAATATTTTTTCTTAATTTATTTTTTCAGATATTTTTTAATATTTTTCATATTTTGTACAACAAAGATTATAAAAGTAAAAGTATGTTAATACTTTTTTAATTATTTAATTCATCTTTCAATAATATATGTGTGTTTATTTTTTTAAGAAAGGCATAATTATTTTTATTTGATATAATTTTGCAAGTATATAAATATTACTATAGACAAAAATGATTTAAAGGGAAAATATATCATTTTCTTCTTGCTATTTTTTAGAAAGTTTATTTTTAAATAATAAGTCAATAATATGAATTTATATATGTTATAAATTTTAAAATTTTAAATATAATTTCGATAAAAAATTAATTAATATGTATATATTTATATTAAATAAATAAATTTATTTCATACATTATACAAATCGTAATCAAATAATATATATATGTATGTATATGAGGTTCTAATTGATGGATTTGTACAAATTTGCTACTCCATAGAATGGATCTCCAATACAGTTGCTACTTGTTTGGATTGCAAAAGTACATAAACATTATATGGCAAATTAATAAGTTCTGCCTTACTTGAATATGCAGAAGTACAAGTGTCCAAAACAAGTTCCACGTTACACGTTTGAGTAGCATGTTTGCCAACATAGAGAGTACATTAAGGCTGTAGGTTTTTTAAGTAAAAGTCACCTTAAGACCCCTTTTTTTTTTTTTTTCAAATGAAAAAATTGTGAAGATGGTCCTTTGAATCTTAAAATGGACTACATTTAGTAACAGGCATAATTCAACAATTTTTATCTCAATAGTATTTATTTATTTCATCAACATGACTCATAAAATGTAAAATAAAAAAAAAAAAGAAAATTCCTTTCGTGAGATTAACCAATGAAAGAATACCTTATGAAGAAACTTTTAGTTTTTCGATAACTTTTGTTGAAATAGAATTAGATGCAATCCAAATCCTGATTGGAGCTTGTAATTTATCAAAGGTTGCCCCATTGCATATTTTTCCAGTGATTTAAATTAAAAGCACTTGACTTCTACCCATTGAAATTAAAAAGAAATCGTGGGTCTCAAATTATTTCTTCTTAATTAAGTATAAACTTGGAGTTTATTGTTTATAAATTTTTTATTATAATCATACAATTATTTAATTAAAATAAAAAAATTAAATAAAAGTTTATCACATATAAATATGAATTTCACATAAAATTTTGATAAATTTTTTGTAATTTTAATTTATAATTAATTAATTATAGTAATAATTATAACTGAAATACTCTATAAAAACTGTAGATTATAGTTTTTTGACGATGTCTGAACAATCATTTTTAGGTAATTGACCAAGTAATTATTCTAAATTACTTGTATTTAGTGGCAAATTGGTCATTTTAACAAAAAATGGTCCGTTTCCGTTACACTAAAGCAGTTTAGCGGGTTTTCTTTAATTTCCAGAAAAAAAAACTGAGTTGAATAGCTGTTTCTTACCTGAAACTTTAATAAATTATTTTTTAGATTTTAATATTTTATATTTTTTTGTGTGTCGGAATGAAATATTTTAAGGTTGGGGCTTGGCCATCGTAGGCAATTTCTATGGATTTGAAATTCTCTCCTCAGAGACGTAAGGTGGGGATAGAGCACGTGTCGGTAAAACCCACCAGAATCAACCGGGGCGGGACTTGCTTGTTAGAACGTAGGACAAACCGAGGTACTGGAATTTCGAATCAGCGAACAAGAAATGAGAAGTTTCTAAGTGACGGCGCAGTTACGGCGAGTTCCTTCAAAGCTCAACCTCATTGCTTAGGGATCGTTTTCGTTGCTGTTCTGGATTGCATTCCTGGTTTCTTGTCGCTAGCCTTTTTAAACAGTTGGTAACTGTCCAGTCAGGTGATCAAATACCCAACAAAGATCATTAGAATTTCACACAATTGGATTTCAAGTCCGACGGTCCTGTCCATCGCGTGCAACTACTTTCCCCCTTATTTTTTCTTGCATTCTCATTTCCCATTGCTGCGTGAGGTCAAAGCTCGGAATGACACGTGGTGCTGTTTCAACCTGCTGGCAGAGAAGTTATATCCGTGTAACGAAGAAGAGTTGGCCTTAATCAAATAAATAAATATCCAGAACCGCCAAATCAAGAAGAAATTAACGGCAGTGATCTGATGCTTGCGTTTCATCAAAACAAATTTCAAAATTTTTCATTAATTTAAATAGAAAACCCAAAACAACCGAAACCATGTGAGTAGGAGCTAGTTGGATTTTGGAATTTTTTTTTTTAATTTTCTCTCTGTCCATTAGACACTCTCCAATCATTTCTGCTCCGTATGGTCTCCCTCTTATCTTTTGCCATGCGTTTCTTGAAAAGCTTATTCTTGTAATTCTTCTTCTCTAAATCCGTCCTCTCAAGAGAGAAAGGAGAGGGGGGAAATGGCATCGAGGTTCTCTGGGGGTGGCCCAGATTTTTACGGTGGATTAGCAGGCAGATCCGCGGCTAACAATGGCACCATGAGCAATAACCAACCGACTGCGACGTACCGGACACAAAGCCCTGGCATCTTAATGGACCCGTCGTCTCAGATCGTGAACGGAGCTGCACCCAGCCTCATGGGGAAGCGAACGCTAGCCGACTTCCAAACTCAACAACACCAGAACAATCATCCACGCCTCAATGGTCTTTATCTCCGCTCGGTTAAGCCTAGAACTTACCAGCATACTTCTCCGATTTCTCCGTTATCTTCCATCGATTTCTCGTCCAACTTGTCGCCAGATGTTACGAATAATTTCTCGTCTCCTTCTTCTTGCATGTTGCAGCGATACGGAGTGCCACTTTTACAACAACTCAGGCCGCAGCAACTTCCTCTTGGTATCACCTCCGGGGCCACAATCCAGGCCGTGAACCCTGCTTTATCAGGCGCTCCGTACATGAACCTGGTTCAAGCACGGGTCGTCCAGCCACAAGATCGGGAGGAAAAGATGATGAATCAGCTTCAAGAGCTGGAGAAACAGCTGTTAGACGACGACGAAGGAGACGCGTTTTCGGTGATTACTGATACCAGCAGCGAGTGGTCTGAAACTATACAAAACTTGATCGGTTCCAGCAGCCCTAACAACCCGATTGCCCCATCGCCTACTTCTTCAACCACTTCATCGTCTTCGTCCACGTCATCAGTGGCTTCTCCAGCATCGATTTGTTCAAAGCAGACAATAGTGGAGGTCGCATCAGCTATATCCGAGGGCAAAAGTGACGTGGTTAACGAGATCCTGACCCGATTAGCTCAAGTTGCTAACGCTAATGGTAATTCAGAGCAGAGGTTGATGGAGTGCATGTTGTTGTCTCTTAAATCACGGGTTAACTCAGTGGAAAACCCGCCACCGGTGGCTGAGTTGTTCAGCAAGGAACACGCTGCAGCGACCCAGTTGCTTTCTGATCTGTCTCCTTGTTTTAATCTCGGGTTCTCGACTGCTAATCTGGCTATCCTCGATGCCACTTTGGACCAACCAAGCTGTAATAAGCTACATGTTATTGATTTTGATATTGGGCAAGGACGGCAGTATATAGATCTTCTCCACGTGCTCTCGGAGCGTGGAAGTGGGAAGCCTGCAATGGTAAAGATCACAGCTATTGCTGATAATGGTGGGGATGAGAGGTTGAAGATGGTTGGCGATAAGTTGAGTCAAATCGCAGAAGGATGCGGAGTTTGTTTGAAATTTAATGTGGTAGCGAGCCTTAAACTCAGCGATCTGAGTCGCGAGTCGCTCTGTTGCGGACCAGACGAGCCATTGGCTGTTAATTTTGCGTTCAAGCTTTATCGAATGCCTGACGAGAGTGTGTTCGTGGAGAATCCGAGAGACGAACTTCTCCGTCGCGTGAAAGGGTTGGCGCCGAGCGTGGTAACATTAGTGGAACAAGAACTGAACACCAATACGGCGCCGTTTGCGTCGCGTGTGGGAGAAGCCTGCGCATATTATGGAGCGTTGTTTGATTCGATTGAGTCGACCGTGTTTAGGGACAACTCGGAGCGATTGAAGCTTGAGGAAGGGCTGTTTCGCAAAATTGCCAACTCAGTCGCGTGTGAGGGGAGGGACCGCGTTGAGAGATGCGAGGTTTTTGGGAAGTGGCGGGTCCGGATGAGCATGGCAGGGTTCGAGTTAAAGCCACTGAGCCAAAGCGTTGCAGAGTCTATGCGTGCTAGACTCAACCCGGGGTTCACCGTTAAAGAAGAAAATGGAGGGGTTAGCTTTGGTTGGATGGGCCGAACTCTCACCGTCGCATCTGCTTGGCGTTAACTTCACTTCTCTCCTCTCTCTAATATTATTATTAATTGTTATTATATTTTTAACGTTTTCCTTAGAAGAGAAAATATGAGAAACGAAAAAACATCCTACCAAATCCAAATAATAAAAAGGAGTGTTCGGATTCGAGGAAAAATCTGCGCCTGCATTTTATTTTAATGTCTTTATCTTTTTTCTGCGTGTGCGAATGAAGTGTTTGGTATAATGCTGACTCGTCGTTTGACATGCGTGTAGTTTGCCTTCACATCACATTACCAACAATTCAAGGGCTTTTCCTTATTTCACAAATATATTTTGCATTCATATTTTCAGAAATTTAATACCTTGATCTACTGTAATTATAGAAACGAATGATGGAAAGAAGCAATAGTAAAAAGAGTAATAAATTTCTCAGCAGATGATTCCGCTTATACCATTTTGCATAAGAATAGGAGTGATTTTTTTGTATTTAAAGCCATTTATGATATTCTTATCTCCAATTTGATGAAGAAGGATTTTCCTTGGATTGAAATTATAAAAGTTTCCCAGCTCCTGTCATTGGACAAATAAAAAAAATGGAGGAAGGGAATTGTTTTCATTTTTTTAGAGGGGTCCGGGTCCAATAAGATTGATGATGTTCTTTGAGTATTTTTTTGGGTTATGATTTCTTCATTGTTTGCTTCATCAATAGCTGGTTGTGGTTAGTCCATCTCTCCATTAGGCAATTACAATATCCTCAAATTAAGTTAAAAAGGTAAATAATAGATGTCAACACTAATTTTTTTAAATATTTCAATAATTAAACTTTAAGATTCTAACTTAAAAAGCTTAGATAAGAATGTTTATAAGATTAAAACAAATTACCTGGCAAAATATGATCGAGAATCACACCATAATGATGGAGATTTGGAAGTAATTATGCAAGTACCAATATCATACCATAAGAATGTTTCATATATTGGTACTTGGGCAATAGACCCCAACAAGTGAACTAACAAAGGTGGAGCTTCGCACGTAAATGAATGAATAATTATAAAGGGGGAGAAGACGAAGAAGTTTACATATATATATATATATATATAAAACTCAAAAAAAATCGAAAATTGATTTAAAATTATAGTGTTTGATTTGATTTGGATTGATTTTTTTTATTTGATTCGAATCAAATTCGATTATTAAATGTATATATTAAGTTCAGATCGAATTTTAAATCAAGAGGTAAAAAATTGAACTAAATCGAATTATATATATTTTAAATTTTTATAAAATAAAATAATAATTTTATATCAAAATTTACTTAAACATATTAAGATTTTTTATTAAAATAATATATAAAAACTAAAAAAATTAAAAATATATAAATTGAACTAAACTAACTCGATAAAATTTGATTCGAATAAAATAAAATTTAAATTTAAATTTAAATCAAAATTTAAAATTTTATAATATTATATAATATTTTAAAAAAATCAAATCAAATACTATTCGAATCAAACTAATCAAATATTATTCTAATCAAACTGTGATTATTCATTTATATATATATATATATTTAAAATATTTAATCTATTCTCGACCGCTACCCTTATTTATGGGATCTATCTGATTAGGAAAGACATAATGCTTCAACTCCAGTAATCAAACAGGGGCATGAATTATGATCACATGGTGTTGGATTAAATTCAAACAGGTACATGAAATAAATCTTTGGCCAAAACATAAAATCACTATATTAAATGAAGTAATCAAACAAATAGGAAAATGTTCGGCAATAGAAAAAAAAAAACATAAATGGCAGTCAAAAAGGGCGAATGAATTATGACCACATAGTGTTGGATTTGACTGGAATAGAAGGGATGATCATGATCATGATCATTCCAGCTATGTCGCCTAAAAGTTGGCTTGCAAAAACTAATGGCATGACAAAAAGGGCTTCTCTTGCACCCAAAGTCAAAACTTTTTACTATTTTTTTTTCCCAAAAAAATTCTTTACTTCTTTCTTTTAGATTTTTTATTAAAAAAAAATTATTTAATTAATATTTATGTGAACCGAATTTTTAGTCTAATATACTTGTTTCTTTATTCCCCTTAATCTCCATCTTTTTCTTTTTAATTGCTAATAATGCGGAAATAGCATATTTCAGTGTCACATACATATCAATGACTCACGTTTTGGGTGGTTGGGAAGTGTTTCTGCTTGGAGAAGAGTGGCCTTAAAAATAAAAAAAAAAGGGTTTTATTTTAATTTAATTTATTTTACTAGCTTTTTTTTGTTTAATATGTATAATATCGTACACCATGCAGCAAATATTATCCAGTAACTAAATTCTTTTAATTTTTAATATTTTTATTTAAAATTATTAAAAATTAAAAATTAATTATTAAAATTAAAATTTTAATATTTTATTAACAGATGAATGTTAATCATCTTAACATTTGACATGCCACCCCAAAAGCAAAAGTTTTGTCAATTTCCTGCATGATAGTCTGTCATTCAAGACCAACCAAAACCTGTTATAGCATTAAATTAATAGGCAAAAAGGGCAAAAAAAAAAGAATTCAGAATCGGCCCTTTCTCTATAAATGAAAGCGACTGAGTTTGGGATTATCATATCATAATCATAAATCCATTTTTCATTAAAAAAATATTTGTCCTAACGAGAAACCATTGGTAGAAAACGAAGCCCGGTTGTTGATGGTGAAAGGGAAAAGAGCTCTACATTCACTGCAAATTTCAAGAAAATTTGGTTGAAAGAAGCAAGAAAGACTGATTGAAGTTCGTCCTGTGACCCATATACATATAAGTTTCTTGCTCAAACCCTTAACAGCTTCTCTTTTTCTGATAATTATTTTCATGAGAAAGACTTTGCATTCTATCTCAAGATTCGTTATTGATGGAAAAACAATGGGATTGTCAAGAAATTTATTGACGTTTTGCATGTTGTTTCTTTACTTTGTGTATTGGCTCTAGGCATTTTCTTGATAATCCAGTCAAGTATTCTTTAGGTTGAAATTGCCTTGAACTTGAATGATTCTTCTTGGAAATAAGAATATTTTGGTAATTAATGTTATGATTCCAATTGTACCTATAATTAAGTCCTACTTTGGATTTCATCCATATCAGTTTCTAACTGGTACAATGTAGAAGTTCTAAATTTGGATTCTGCCCAAAAAGAGAGACATGGCATAGCGTGCTGGTCTTTTGATTCAAGACCAGAATTTGAATGTTCACTATAATGGTATTTCTCCCTTATGTTTTCTATTTAGCCATCAATGTTCGATATATATATTTTTGTCATATATGGTTTGAGTCGATGGTTTTCTTCTCGAGGAGTTTCTGTTGGGGGCCAGAAGAACGTTTCTAAGGCACCAAAGAAAGAAGCAGGAACTGCAGGAAGGAAACCACTTGGTGATTTGTTCAATTCGGTGAACCCTCTTCCAAAGCAGGCATCAAAAAAGCAGAATACTAACTTTTTCTCCATTGCTGACAAAGAAGCCACTGCTACCTCTAAGATCCCATTTGATGCAAACAAAAAGAAGAGTGTCTCTAATGCCTCAGAGAGAGTGTGGATTGGTGCCAGGAAACCTCATTATATTTTGAAGTCGATCAAGTCTTGCGTGCGAGAGACTGCAGAGAAGAATCCAAATGCAAAGCAAAGCATTGTGATAGAAGAGGAATGTTTTCTTTACAACCATCGGGAATGCATCAAAGCTCAGAAACCATTGATGCATATGAATGAGTTTCTACAGATGGTTGGGCTGGACAAGGGTAAAGAAAACAATTACCTTTGTGGCTTGATTAGATAGATTCCTAAATAGACACATAATCTGGAATGCAATGTTCTTTTGTTTAGATTTCTCGAGACAATCAGCACTTTCAAGGACACCTCCAATGTCAATCAAGACAAAGGTTTGTTCAGCCCTTTCCATTTCGCTGCAGAATTTATTTCCATTTTGGTTTTCTCATTCTTGTTTCCTTTCTGTTACAGCCCAAGAGTCCCCCGAAAAACTCACAACCAGTGGAGATGGCTGCGCTGCTGATTGAAGATCATTCTCCTGTCAAGCACAACTTGTCTAGCAAACTTGTCTCTCCATCTGCCACCAGAACTCCAGAACCACCTAATCATATCTGGTCTGAACATGACTGCGTCAGCTATAGGTTGATAGAAACACCACAACTGCCAAAGCATTAATTTCCCTTGAAAATATACATCATTGCTACTGCTACATGAGTAGTATATCAGTATATCAGCATAGCAACAGTAACCGTGTTTAAGTAGTTTCTTGAAATTTTGTCTATATTGTAGTGGAGATCTTTCTCTGGATGACAGTTGGATGCAAGATGTGTTGCGGATTTGCGATCGGGTTTAATTGGAATGAAAACTACTTTTTGCATAACTTGTGCATGCGGGGAAGTTCAAATTCTAAATGGAAAATCAGATGGCAAAGCTTTTGTAGATTGAAACTGGTAGCATCTCCCTGTCATCACGGGTCTCTTGGGCGGCAACATACCACTAGTTTGTTGGGGCCTTTTTATCAGCCTTTTTCTTTCGACAAAGGGCTTGACAACCCATCAGCCATTTTATGAACCTTGAATCTGTCTTTGGGCTAAGATATTTTCCAAATACAAGTATTATATATGTGGCTACTCGCTGTATAGGATTTAGCCCTTTCAGGAGCAACAACGGGTCCTTTCAGCCCAACTGCGAACGATCTGATTAGACATGGTTTAATCGGACGGTAATCAAGCTCACGCGACCATATTCCTCAATGCACGCCAGCAAACATTCCCCACTGCAGAAATCTAATCTCTCCCACCCTGCCTGAAGCAAGCTCCAAAGACTCGTGAAAACTAAATCAAAGCCCAAACGAACCACTCCTAGAAATGGTGTCGTCTCTACGACTACCAACGCTTACCTCCCTCTTCTCTCCCTCTCTCACCCGTCGATCCACGTTGTCTCTGCGACGGCGCCTCCATCTCGGTCCGCCTCTAGCCACTGGGTTCTCCTCCCAGAGTGCGGCTCCGAGTCCTCCGGAAACCGAGGACCGAGTGGACAACAAGAAGAGCAGCCGAGTCCAAGACCGAGCGAACGCTGAACGAGTCATCACGCCTCGGTCTCCGGACTTCAATGCTTGGTACCTTGATGTTATTGCTAATGCTGAGCTAGCTGATTATGGTCCTGTTCGTGGTACCATGGTTATTCGCCCCTACGGTTATGCTATTTGGGAGGCAATTCAGGTCGCTTCATTTTTCCTAATTTCAACTACTTATTGTTACACTTCCATGGCTCTCTCTCTCTCTCTCTCTCTCTCTCTCTTTTCTTAAATTTTTGGTTGATTTTGAAAACTTGCAGGAGTATTTGAATGTTAAATTCAAGGAGACTGGGCACAGCAACATGTACTTTCCACAGGTGTGGGTTTCTCTTTTTGATAATTTTTTAGCTATCCTTTTGTTTATTTGCTTTGCTTACTTTATGTTAATGGTTTATGAAATTTACTTTATGATTGCAGTTAATTCCATACTCATTTATAGAGAAAGAAGCTAGCCATGTTGAAGGATTTAGTCCAGAATTAGCACTTGTTACGATCGGAGGAGGAAAGGAACTCGAAGAGAAACTTGTGGTACACATATAATATTTCTTTGCTTAACTCTATTTGTTTATAAGATTACTTAGTCTTATCAATATATTACAAACTAATCAATTTTTAACGGAAATGCTGGTTCAAGAGTAACCATGATGGCGTGGCCTGAGTTTTGTCTTTGACTGTTGTACTTCCTGAGGCTGTGACAGGTTCGACCTACCAGTGAAACCATTGTAAATCATATGTTTACCCAGTGGATTCACAGTTATCGTGATCTTCCTCTTATGATTAATCAGGTATAAGCCTAGCATTTATGGCCTGGTTATGCATATTTTGGGTTGCCGCTCACTGTTTTTCCCTTGTTTTGTTATGATTTATTTGGTTCAGTGGGCAAATGTCACGAGATGGGAGATGCGCACAAAACCATTTGTGAGGACTCTTGAATTTCTTTGGCAGGAAGGTCACACTGCTCATGCCTCACCAGAAGAGGCAGAAAAAGAGGTTTATTTCACTTTAACTATGGCATAGTCATGATGATTTTAGATGGTAATGTTTTTATTTAAAGGATTGGATGCTACTGACCTGCAGGCGCTACAGATGATTGGTGTCTATACAAAGTTTGCTTATGAGCAAGCTGCAATACCTGTAATTGCAGGTCGAAAATCTAAAGTGGAAACATTTGCTGGTGCTGATAGAACCTACACAATAGAGGCTATGATGGGTGATCGTAAGGCCTTGCAAGCTGGAACCAGCCACAATCTTGGGCAAAACTTCTCCCGTGCTTTTGGGACACAGGTGATTGATACGCTAGGTGCTCCTTTTTATCTCTTTTCTAATCCTAACATGGATGCTCTTGCAGGGAGCAAATAATTTGCCAACCAATTGAGTATAATGTTGAGGAATTTGCTGACAAACAGTGCACTTCTAATATTTACTTTCGCATAGCTGAAATGTGAAACCGCTATATTTTTGTGGTTAACTCTTTAAATATTGAGTCATTATTGAATGTGGGCACTGTCATGGATTTTCTTTTTCACTTAAAGACCCTTTAATCAAGCAAATGCATATGGATATATTGGTTCATTAGATTGAAGTTTGAAGGGGTTCATTTCGTTTTCTGGAAAGACATTTTCGATGATTATATAGGCATCTTTTGTTGGTTGTCTGTTGTCCTCAGACATAGGTAGCTTTAGTTTCCCTTTTTTTCCCCCTTTTTTCATGATTCTAGTATCTTGAGTGTTTTCTTCTCTCTGCTCTTTGTCCTAGCATTTTCAGAAAGTCAATCCAAAAGTGAGGAAAGGTGAATGATTATTTTTATAAATTATTACACTTCTTAAAACTATAGGCTGGATGACATTCTGTGTTCTGGTTCAGTTGTCCATTTTTTCCATTTATGGTTGTCCTCCCACAATCAGGCTTGCAGCCTTTTGCACTTAAAATTTTTTCTTTAATATTTGTTTTGGATAGTTCTTTCAAATGCTAATACGAATCACAGATTTTCTTTGTTGCATATCATTGTTTGCTTTTGGATTGGTAAACTCCATAAGCAATAAAGGCTTCTGACTGAAACTTGTGCTTGTACAGTTCACTGATGAAAATGGACAAAGGCAACATGTGTGGCAAACATCTTGGGCTATCAGCACAAGGTTTGTTGGTGGTATTATCATGACCCATGGAGATGATACTGGCCTTATACTTCCTCCAAGAATTGCACCAATACAGGTATATAAGAATTTTTTTGGTGATGAATTGTAGTAGATGGCCTGAACTGTTGGCATCAGTTGATTGGTCTTTTTCTGATTGAAGGTAATGGTAAATATGATGCTTACATAAAATTATTTGGTGACTGAGACTGCTATTTGATCATATTGATCGTTAACTTGGCATTTTCTGTTTGCTGGAGCAAAAGCATGTTTTTCTTTTTGAAGAAGTTATGGAAAAATACAGTTTGGAACCCTTTTGGTGTGGTCCACCCTGTCAGGTGGCATAGCTCAAGTAGAATGATTTATACAGGGAACTCCTTTTGCAAACTGCTTTGTGGAAACTAGAAGTGGTTTATTTATCTTCATGCAATTCATTATACGCAATAATGCTCTGAAGTTAAATAAATATCAAGAGAATTAGGAGGCTTTTGTGCTTTAAAGTTAGAAAGAGGGCATTTTCCTGTTTTTGCTAATATAGAAAGTAATGGTGATGCTGTTATAACTATTTTGACAACAAATTTTGTGGGTTTATACCTGCATATGGGCGCTCATTGGCCTTTTAGGGTGAAAAAATGGAGTAGCTTTCCCCTGTCCTATAAACACATAGTCTCCTAAGGGTCGAACTTGAGATGTCCTAGTTCAAAGTAACAAATTCCAACCATTGAGGTGTCCCCATAGAGATGCTTTTTTTACCAATAATAATGCTCAAAAAAGAAAGGAAAGGGGAAACTAAATGAAGAAAAATATGTAGATAGTTGTAGTCCAATCCCACCATCCAGTATTTTAATAGCTCAATCATTTCATGTGAAGACACAGCAGTCTCACTTAGTGATGGCAATGGGTTGGGGTAGGGCGGGTTTTTGCTTGCCCCGAACGGAGCTAACCCAACCCGATGATTTTTTTTTTATAGCCAAAACCGACCCGACATTGTACAAAACCGTACCCGATCCGAAATTAATAAAATATTATTTTTTAATATAAATATAAAATTAAATATATATAAAAAATATATAAATAAATATAAAATTAAATAAATAATAAAAAAATAATTTATATATATTGGGTTGGGTAGGGTCAGGTTTGCCTAAAACCCGATCCTGAATTTTTCCTTATATTGCCCGACCCGACTCGAACCGATACCTAATTTAAAAAAAGAAAAACAACCCTAAAAGTTCAGGTCGGGTCGGAACCCGCCGGATTTGGGTTAGACTGCCTTCTCTAGTCTCACTATGTGGGCTTACCTGTATAACTTAGAATGATTTCTCAATAGGGGCATTTCTGAGTCTGATGCTTATCAGAATGCCTGATCTTACATAAGCGCAAAGATACTCATAAGTATAGAGGTGCTAGTGATCTGTTCTCCTTATCTTGTGTACTAATAACTTGTACGCTACTTAGAGTTGTGGCTGATTTAAATGATCTTCATTTACATCTGTTTAATTGTTACAGTGTGTGTGATAACTCGGACCATTGACTGTTTCTACAACAGTTTTAGTCATTAGAATATTACTTATTTTCTTGATTCAGTTGTTTATCTTTCAAGTGATCCTGCATATTAAAAACTTAAGTCTGTTGTACGATATTTTTATATTTTTATGATGGTTGTCTTTTTATGTTGTCCATCATACACTATCAGGTGGTAATTGTACCAATTTGGAAGAAGGTTGATGAGAAAACAGGAGTTCTAGATGCTGCATCAAAAGTTGCAGAAATTCTAAAAACTGCTGGACTTAAAGTTAAACTTGATGGTGCAGATCAGAGAACACCAGGATGGAAGTTCAATTTCTGGGAGATGAAGGTATCTTTACGTCTAAATGGTGTAACACTTTTATTGGTTATTCTGAAGTATGAAAGCTTATTCCTCAACTTTGGGTTCTTTCTCAAATTGAAAAGCCATGATAGGGGAAACCCCTAGAAAGTTTATAAAACCTTGCCAAAATCCAGAATATCTGCATACATGCAACCCTGATATGTCCCTTGTGTTGTGTGGCCTGCTTATACTATTTCATTATGCTGACATAGTTTGATCTTATTTTGTCTAGAACACAAGTGTTTCTCTCTCTCTTTTTTTCTACCTTGTGGAGAATACTGCTTTGCAAAAATATATATAACTTTCAGCTGCCTCTAGCTTTAGATAATTATTTTGTAGGGAGTACCTCTGAGGATTGAAATTGGTCCCCGTGATGTTTCAAGTGGGACTGTGGTCATATCTAGAAGAGATGTTCCTGGGAAGCAAGGGAAAGTTTTTGGAATATCTATGGAACCTTCAATATTAGAAGCTTATGTCAAAGACAGGTTGGATGAGATCCAATCATCTCTTCTTCAGAGGGCAATATCTTTTCAGGACAGGTGTGTCTTCTTTCTCAAGCAGTTATTACCAGTTTCAAGTGAAGAAGAGTTTGACCAATTACAAATTTTTTGAGCTCTGTTTCTCATCATAAGCACATAGTAGCTATTTTGTAGATTGGAATCAAGCTTATTATGAACCATTGCATAATGATATGATAACTATGCGAAGCTAAAGCACACGTGCTAACGCTACTGAATTGGTGAGCGCGTTCTTTTATTTATAAATAATAGATCTTATACTTTATGACTAGCTTCTTGTTTTGGAGAGCTAAATTAGTAGCCATCTTCAGATCAATGGTCACCCCTGAAGGATTAGGGATAACAACCTATATAAGATCTGGTTTAACAATCTTTCATTAAATAATCACAACAATCTAGATTCCTGAAGAAGTAAATTAGTAGAATTTATGTCTTGATAAAAAGGTATATTTTAGTACATTTTTTTTTCTACTTAATTAATTAAGCCAGCAAAATTTCTTTAAAGTGCTGCCACTGTCTTTACCTTTAAATTTCTATTATTGACGATGCCATAAATGATAAAAAATTCAGCATAAGTATGGGGATTTTGAACTTTTGGCAGTGGCTCCAAGTACTATTTTGAAGTTGATGTCTTGTTAGATTTTCATCTAATCAGTAATAGATAGTATGGTTTCATGGTTACTACAAGGATGGATTATTGTATCTGTCTCTCTTGTAAGCTTTAATTATCTAGATTCTAGAAAGCTCCGTGGAGTTCTTGGAAATGAATAGAATTTATCTGTTTTTCTGCACTCTCTTGGGTTCATTGCTCTTCTTTCTAATGCTTCCTTGACTCTTTTTGCAGTAATATTGTGGATGTGAGCTCCTATGAAGAACTCAGGGAAGCTATATTCTTGGGCAAATGGGCTAGGGGTCCTTGGTCAGCTAGGTAGACTACTCTTTCTTAGATAATAGCTATGTCAGAATTATTTGACTACTATTCATTTGATAGTATATTACTGAGACATGCTCTCATTTGTAAGTCCAACCATATGTTCCCTGTTCCTATAATTTTTGCAGTGATGCAGATGAATTAAGAGTAAAAGAAGAAACAGGGGCAACAATTCGCTGTTTCCCCTTTGAACAGCCCCAGGGGATCAAAACATGCTTGATGACAGGCAGCCCTGCAAAGGAGGTTGCCATTTTTGCAAAATCTTATTAAGTTTTTGGTACACTTGATTATCAAGTTTACAGACTATTGCAGTTAGATGTCCTAAATCTTGTATATAAACATGAATCTTTGATTACATTTACTGAAACAGAACAAATAATTGTTTATGCTTTTTTTATAAGGCAATTGTTTAAGCATTTTTGAAGCTTTGTAGCGTGTTCATGTTATAGCCCCACTTTGAGGGATCTAGGACAACAATTTGTAGTTATGGTCTGATATAGCGATATTCTTTTAGATAGAGGTGACATTGATTTGTATTATTTTATCTAGTGCTGTGTTTTTATAAATGGAGGTTCTTCGTGAAAATGCCTAAGCTTGGCATAACTTGTGTATGGTAAGTGGCAAAGATAGATGGAGGCTTTTCCTAGGCCACCTGCACATGTTTGACTTTCGGCTTTTGTTTTTGTTGATCGTCTTTTATATGTTTTTTTGGCCACCCGGGTGTTGGAATTGAGACACATAGGATTAAGATGATTTGGTTTTGAACATTAGCACAAAGGGCTTAGGAGACCTATTGCCTCACAGCTTTGGTATTGATAGTGATATTGGTATTGGTATTGGTGTATAGTCTTGAGAGAGAAGCTTAATTTTGTTTGAGTAGTGTACAAAATCATTGGCTGATTGATTTAAAAGAAAAGAGTTAGAGAAAAGGTGTAGCATAGAAATGGAAATTTGTGAAAATTTGAGGGTCGGAACTCCAAAGAGTAAAATGGGGAGCAACTTGAAGCAAATGTTGCAGTTAAGGACCTCTCAACACGTATAACGGGCTTTTACTCTTTCGCCGGGCCGTTGGTGCTTCAAAGTTGTCTGTAATTATTACAAAGCAACGCACTCTCCGTTGCATCGTGGCCGTCCAAATCGCCATTGCATTGGCCATTTGCTGCTTACGTGGAAGGCTAAGATGGGAGGCAAAGGCGTAATCTTCTGACTTAAGGGTGGCCAACGGGGCTTCTTTACTTGAGACAGGGTGGGGTTCCTTCCGTGGAATAAAAGTCATGCGCAGGGAAAAAAACAACCCAAAACCCCTCCCCCCCAAAAAAAAAAGGCAATCCAAATTTAATTAATTAATTAATTATATTATTTACCAGAATATGAGGATGTTTGCATTAAATTCCGTATAAATTCAATTAAAAAATTTGGAATTCATGAAAGAAAGAAGAAGTAATGTTCGCATCTGGAATTTAAGTTTGATTATTATGGAACACGAGTGCCGCTCTTTTTGAATTATTTTTTTCATCCTAATGTACTCCTCTATGCTAAGAAATCTTTGCATTAATTTCTAACAAAATTTAAAGGTTGATTAGAACTATAAAAGGATTGCAAAAACATTTCATTAGCTGCCCAATTTTAACCCAAAAAAGAGGATATTTAATTTTTTTTCTAAAAAATTATACTATTTGAAAGAAAACAGTTTTTTTTTTTTATAAAAACGACAATTTAAAAATAAAAAAATTTAAAATTTAAAAATAGTAAATATCATTTCATAAAAATAACTGTAATAACATTTAAATCTTTTGCTAAAAAAGAAAGATCATTTGAATTTGTAGTTCTCAATGTTCTAATTAGTTCACCTTTACAAACAAACAGGTGTAATTGGAAAAAAAAATGTTTTGGTTGGTAGGAATTTTTATTTTTAAAAGGTAAAGGTGATTAAACCATAAATATGAGGGGTACCCTGTAATATAGAAAGAGTCGAGGGTTCCAAGAGGAAGAAAAAAGAAAAGTTTTGGAAATTACCGTGCCCATTATCAATATTATAATAATATTCCCATAGAGTCATTTATCAAAAAGAAAAAGAAAAACCTTAGTCAAGAATAATAAAATGCGGCCTTGATTGGTCGCTATTTGACTATTGACTTTTGCTATTGGCCTCTTTCCTTTCCTGAGCAAGCACCCAAATCGAGAGTTCCAGAATTTTATTTATTTATTTTTCCTTTTTTTTTTTTTAAATTTAGTACGAATTCTTTTCCTGGCAAGGACTCAAATTGTGGGACTCCAATCAGGGTATTTTCGACAGAACAGGTAAAAAGACATGGATAAAATCGTCACAAAGTTCATCTTAAATACTTGGTGATAGGGCAATTCAGTGTTGATCCAAACAGCGAAGAAGCTAGACGCCTCCCACCAGAAGAAGAAGCTTGAAATAAGCGGAAAAGCGAAGGTCCAGATCGGCTTTTAGATGGTCCGACAATCGGACGGTCATTATTTATTTGATAAGGCTGCGTTCTTGATCTTCTATAACTGAAATATCAACAACGAAAAGAGAGGAGAAATCGGAGTCCACAGAGGAGTTTTGTGGGGATTTGTTTTGATGCGATCAATTTGCGATTTAAATCTTGCAAAGGGTTTCGACAAATCATCAAATTTGGCGGAGGCGATTGTTATTTATTGATATGATTTTTTAAAAAAGGAAACAGGTATTAAAAAACCCTAGATTTTGAATTTCTACGCTTTTGTTGTGGTTGTTTCCCTCCTTCCAAAATTAAAGCAGTGGAGTCCCTAATTGATTCGGCCTTGGTCAGATCTCAAAGAATCTTAATCAGATGATGAACAGATTTAGGGTTTTTTTTTATGAAGAATTTATTGAAGAAACTTTTTGAAGAGAAGGGGATTTTTTGTTCGGATTCTCCTAGATCAACCTTAGACGTAGGCGGCATTGAATTGATTAAAATTTTCTTCTGGGGATTGTTTTCCACGAGGCTTTCGGTATGGATAGTGCTGGAGCTTTTGTCAAAGGAGTTTTTATTGCATAAATTACGTGTAGCCATTACTCTGGGCCAATTTTAGGCTTCAAGAATTAGGCTATATTTCTACTTAGTTTGACTCTATCGAAATCAACCTAGCTGCTTCGCCATTCAAGACTTAGACACTATTCTCGGAGCTGTCCTGCTGCGGCGATAGACTGTTAGATAGAAACTTTAGGGTGTTTATATTTTATTAGATAAACTGATTGCTTTCCTATGCGTTGCTGATGTGTTTATCTTCTGATGGTGAATTTGGTATTTCATGTTTATATGATTTGGATCTATGGATTTTGGGCTATTTTTTTCTGATTTAAGGAGCCTTGTTTGCTTGTTTGTGAAACTCACTACTCCGTATCTGCAGAAAAGTGGTGTAGGACTATTGGAGGGAAGAATAATGTTTGTCCTTCGAAGGAGACTAGGAGATCTGATGTTTTTGGCCTGTGGTCAGGCTGTGAGTCATGGTTTGACTTGAAGTAGCTAGGCTGCCATATCTCTTTTTTTTGGCATAGACTGAAACAAATATACTTCTATTATTACCAGAAGTATTATGTGGAAATTATGCATAGGAAAGAACACAGTTTGTCTAAACTGTTCCTGTACTTGTTTTGATGATGAAACTTTTACTGTATATATTTTGTTGTTTGCAAAGAACCATGATTCCAAGCATTTGGAACAAATTTTATCCAATGTTACATTCTCAATTGAGGGAAGTTTTCGAGGACATCAAAAATTGTCAGCATGATCTGCCTCAAGGTAAATGACCTTTGGAGGCATATGCTGGTAGTCCTATTATCTACTCTGAGGCTCAATATACAGATTATAAAAATCTATTTTATAAGGGATTGGGTGTTTTAAGGTTGTTTATTTGTCCCTTTGTTCATTATTTATTTGCATATATATATATATATATATTGCTGATCTTTTCCTTTGATGTTGTTATTTTCCAGGAAGGATAGACACTTAACGTGTTCGAAGACTTGAGTTTTATAGTGATCTCTATATAGCTATCTGATCTGTTAATATCTGACAAGATTGGAGGAACTCAATTAGCTGTAAGTTTCTAGACCTTGTACTTTATTCCACAAAAAGTAGAATTTTTGGGTTTGAAGGACTTAAAAACAACAAAACTTCATAAAAATAGTCTGCATCAATTGGCATTTATTTTATTTGTGTACCAGTAGTGAAATTTTTTCTGATGCAATTTCTTCTTATGTGTCAGCACCTGTATCTCATTTCATTTTTAGCATGGATGCATATTTGATTGGAGCTTTGGTTTAATCATTTGCAGAGCTGTATTTGTTCTTGCACCAGGAGTTTCTCTTCTACTCTGGTGTCAAGAAGTAAGCAAGAAACCACGGCATCCTGCAAGACTTGTTGTGGTAGACCATTAGTTGATGGGATAGGGTCTGTATCTGCAGGCATGATGAGCACAGTAGGTCTGGAACTCACAAGTTTTATAAACCCTGACTTGACTTGGAAGACAGTGTCAAAGGGGAATAGGAGTGGAACGAGGCGTACAAGGAAACCAGGTGCTAAAAGCTTGACAATGGGAATGGGGCTAGCTGATGAAAATGCGGGAACAGTGGAGGAAGTTACAGTTTCAGAGTCAGAGAAGGTTAAATCACATTCTTTTGTACTTATAAAACTATCCTCATTTGTTCTCACCTGTTTCAACTAATTCTCTGTTTTCCTATTAGCAGCTTGGTGTGGATGTTCTAGGACGGCGCTTTAGTGAAAAAGTAGAGAATATTCCAATAAAGAAAAGGAGATCTATGTTTCAGTCTCCACCTCTAACCCCATTGGCCTCTTATCAGCACCTTGAAGCCTCTGGACGGTATGTAGATTTTCAACCTGCTTCCGGTCAAAATTCTGGTTCAAATTCAGCTCAGAGGCAATGGCTCATAAAATCTGATTGTTTTGCCAAGTCAACTGTTTCTACTATTGATGATGGGAACATTTCAGAGGTAATAAATGGTGTTGAGGATTTCTCAGGGATTGAAATACTTGCAGCTGCTGCTTGCAGTGACTGCATCAGTAATGATGTTGCTGAAAATGAGGTAAATCCATTAGTAGAAGAATCAACACAGGAGAGAATTGAGTCTTCTGCTTCTGCAATGTGTTTGGAAGAAACAATTGCATCATTGGAGACTGCTTGTTGCTCTCCAAAAGATTCAGTAAATGAAAGTAAAACTGAGGGTTCATCTTTCCAGGGCAATTCCTTTGTTGGTTTGCATGAATCTCCTTGTGATAAGGATAATACAACAGCAGAAAAGTCCATTCGCTTGCCAGATGATAGGCTACTCTGGGATTTAAATCTTTCAATGGATGCTTGGCCTTGTGATGGTGGGGATGTTGATTCTCAAAAGGATGCTTTTGATAATATTTCTGTGAGAAGTGAAGAGCTGCAGACTAAGGAACCTCAAGATATACAAAATGATGCTACAAAGAAAGTGGTTTCATCTGTTGTTGATGGGGGTAACAGTATGACTTCAGACTTGAGAACCATGCCTGTTGGGACTGATGACTTGAGGAGAGAGAAACAGGAATCAGAAGGATGCTCTGGCTATGGTGAGAACAAAACTGAACATGTTACAGTGCCAATGTTTGAAGCTGAAAATTCCTTGATGCTCACTTCTGTTGACACAAATGCTTCCATTGAGGCAGTGAGCATGGATCAATGTCTTAGTCATTCTCCTTTTCCTGAATCAGATAAGAGCAAATGGGTGTCTGAGGAAAACCAAGAAAAATCACTATCAACTGATAAAGTTGAGCTGAACTCAGTAGGGTGTATTTCTGAGGCAGAGGTGGGCAAAACTGTTTGTATAGAAGTTGTTCAGGTAGAAGAGTCTGATGTTGCTTCTCCCCGTCTACCAGTTTTAGAGATGATTGCTAATGACATTCAGAACACAAGTGCTGACAATGATAAGGATCATGATGGAGATTCTGGCCTGCATGATGTTAAGGTTTTTGCTTACGGCCTGGACAATCCTCGACCTCTAGAATCCCTGGAAGTTGAGCATGCAAATGTGGCAGAGGAGATGGACATTTGCCATTTTTCACCAAAGTCTGAAGATATGTCCATATCAGATGATTGTGTTATTGAGGCTATGGAACGAACTGCTGGAGCTTCTTCAGCCTATACTGCTCAAGTTGATTCTGTTGCTCATACAGAGTCTGTGGAACTGTTGCAAAATTCTTCCAGAAATTCCAATGCTACTTTAGGAGCTGGTGAGTTTTCTACTCATGAGGCATGTAGAATCTATGCTAATGGTCCTACAAGTCCTACAAGTCCTACAAGCTACTTGGATAAGGCCAACCCGAATGATACTCCTAAAGAAAGCCATGACTCAGCTGTTTGTCAAGATAAGGAATTGACAGTTGGCATGAGAAACCACTCAGAACTTCAGACTGGTTATGATTCACAATTTGAGGATGGGGAATTGAGGGAATCTGATATTCAATGTTGGGAGGAAGCTGAACAGGTGGACTATGACACTGAATTTGAGGAAGAAAGGTCATTTGGGTTGGAGGCTGAGAGTGGTGAGCAGAAATTGAAGGTAGAAAGAGGATCAAGTTCGGATGTTACTGGGAACTTTGAATGTCATGAAACTGGAGAGGCTTTGAGGGAAAGTTCAGTGAGCTTGAAGATGAGAACTGTGGAAGTGCCTGATGGCAAAACAAAGAAAATTGATTGCTTAGATGGGTCTAAAGTTAGAGATTATGATCTTAGAGTAGATTTATCCAAGGTATCAAAAAGGGAATTGCTTTCACGTGTTGAAGGATCATTATCCTCAAGCAGGTGAATTTTTTTGGACCCATTGCCTCTTCTCTTTTATGTACATTTCTAGCTTTGATTGATAGCTGATTATTCAAATATTACAGGTCTGACAATTTTGATGGTTCATATACTCGAGCTGAAAGGGAGGCTAGCTCTGACAAATTCATGGGGAGGGATAGATCTACTTCACATATGCGTGGCAGAAACCCAGGAGGTGGGCACTTTTTCAATCCTTCAGCTAATTATTGGAATTCTAAGCGGCATCATGCACCCATTTATCACGGCCCTTGCAATTTTGGGCGCCCCAGACCAAAAAGTGTTGTTGAGAGCCGTGGATATCCTATGGGCACAGGCCAAGCGCCTTCAGAAGCTGCTGGTGTTGCAAGACCTGACAACCGCATTTCTAGGCAGTATATGGATTCCTCCAATGGTGTATACAGGCCTCTCCTTAGAGGGAGATCACCAGTTGAAAGAGATGATTCTTATGGTATGCATCCAAGAATGCCTACCGTAAGAGATACTAGTCCCGATCGGACTAGGTTTAGAAGATATCCACATGGGGTTAGTAGGGGCATCAGGGATGAATATATCAGGCATATTCCTGATGACAGCACAGAATATTTGAGCCGTATGCCACGTCGTTTAGGCAGGAGAGAAAGAAGCATTTCCCCCCAGGGTGGAAGACCTCATTATACTGTACCTTACAAGAGAACTCGGTCAAGATCAAGGAGTCGCTCGCCCAGTGGCTGGTTATTGCAGATGGATAGAAATGAGGGTACGAGACGTAGCAGCAGGTCACCAGATTTTAGGTCTGATGCTAGAATAGATAGGGTGAGGTTGCCATTTACAAAGCGTTTTGCTGCAGAGTATGAAGAGTTCATAACCCCACCTCGAAGTCGCATTTCACCCCTGCGAAATTTCAGGATGTTTGAGGATCGGAATCCTGGTTTAGACAATTTTAGGGGCCGGAAATCACCTGTGAGAATGTTACGGCAAGGCCAAAGGTTTGATCAAGTGCGCCCCATTCGGAGATTGAATTCAGATGATAACTTCAGACCCATGATTCGAGGCAGAAGATTTCCTGATATGGCTGCTGGTGGTAAAGGGTGTAAATATGAAGGCAGTGATGATGATAAACATGGCCGCAGACATGAGATGATTTATCGAGTGAGGCGGTATGATACGGATGGTGCAGTCCCTCGGTTTCGGTCTAATGTAGAAGATTCATATGTGGCTAAGAACTCTTTAACCTTGACTAATGCAATTGGGGTCTCATCTAGGAGGCCTGATGATGCCCCTAGGACATCTAGTGAAAGATAGATCATTTTAAGATGCAACCATGAAGAGGATTTGGTTGGAAAGAGAGATGTGTAACTTGGAAGAGGTACATGTTTTTCCCTTTACGTAATCCAGCTGTATATGCTGGGTGGTGGGATATCTTTTTTTTCATCTTTTTTTTTTTTTTAAATCATTTGCATTTATTGGGCAGGATATGCATCTAAATTGTGCCTGATTTTTTTTGGTTGGTAGCATCCCTTAGCGAAGAAAATTTGTTCTCTTGGGGTTGATCTTTTGCCTCCCTCCTTGTCTACCGTTCCCTCGTTTACTCCTTTCAAAGGTTATATCTTCTTGCCTAGAAGGTTGTCGATACCTCTATATACGAGGCAATTAAGGTATAATGGTTAAGTCGAAATTAAGGGCTTTTTTTTTTTTATGTTGCAATGCTTCAATTTAATTTGGTCTTTCCTCAGTATTATTGTCATTTCATCTTTTCTTTGTCATGGTTATAAAAGAGAAATAATCGTATTGGATCTCATTTACGCTGCATGGTAAATGCTAATTGAAAGAGTAATTGTTGATCTTAACAAGTTGGTATTTAAAAGAAAATGAAATATACCACAAAGAAATTATCACTTGTCTTTTACCTACAAGCCTCTCCTTAAGACCAATACTTGACCAGACCCGGCTATAGCTTCTACGAATAGCTGGCAAAACCCTGAAAGAAAAGATGGAATCACTCTTCAAGGTCGTTGTTGTGCCTGAATGGATGAGAACCTGTTGATATAACTTCTGATGTGGTAGTTGAGGAGCTCTTTAGGGGCTAAGAAGCATGGTGGGTATGGCCTATCACGAAGATAAAAGTTAAGGGGAAAGATGGCGAGTACGGCAAAGGTCGTTGGGTGTTAATGAAATTCTCGATTATGTTTTGTTCCGTCCATATCAATTAAGGGTTCTTTATTATTTTATTTATTTATTTATTACAGGCTTTTAAAACTGGCAATAAGAAACTGTAGTGCTGTCGGGTGGAAGGGCTCACACGAGAAATGGTAAAATCCAACTCGTATTACATATTCACATTGCACCAAATCCTCCTAATGTTACAGATAATATTATGCACGATACAAAAGAAGCGTATGACGATTCTTCTTTTGCTTACCAGGTGAAGCCAATCGACTCAAAATTCAGATTATCTGCCAAACCAGAAGAGCGAATTGCTGCCACTTCATGCCGCATTTCCCTCGGTCCTTACAATAACACCAACGCTGGTTCCATTGCGTTCAAACAATATCTCTGCCAGAAACACTTCCCTCCCCCCCCCCCCAAAAAAAAAAAAAAATCAAGTGTCAAGTAATTTAGAATTTTTTACATGTATACGATGTCATAACACGTATTCATACATTATTGGTCAAAATAATTCAACGAATTCCATGGCCTTTCTTCCACCAACAATTTTCCTTGTCGGATTATAGACAGAATCCCAACGAAGAATAACTTACTTTTCAAGTCTGGTCTTTCGCCATAATGGACCTTGGTAGCTTGGAGTAGAGACTGGTGCGGAAGGCTTTCTAGTTCTCTGTCATCATTGTCAAACCATGCCGGGGCTGTCATTGGCGGAGTATCCATGTTTTGAATACGTCTCATCCCCTCGCTATATTGTTTCTTGTTCCAGAGAAAAGCAGCAGTTGCTGTGATCGCTATGGCGATGCATATGAACAGCATGTTCAGAGCAGCTCTTGCAGAGCTTGCGTATATCATATTAGAATTATGGTCAATTGGGTATATATAGAAACGTGTCAGAATGCCGATGAGAAGAAGAAAGATGACGAAAGAAGTTCAAATTATCACTCCAAGCCAGAGCCAACTATTTGGGCCTAAAATTGAATAAACTGGTACAGCTAATGCGTTGGGCTTTGAATCAAACAGTTTGTAGGGGCTTTGTGGTTCTGTAGCTGGCTCTTCTCTTGTTATATAGGCTTCAATCTGTAACTGCAAGCAGGAATTATCTACTGTGGTGCCTGATACTGGAAGTAGCAATTCTAACATGGTGAGATCAATAGATTTCTTGAATGCGCATATGAGGAGGATCTGTGGAATCCTGTCACTTCTGTTATTGGCCTTAAATAGGAGCTCTCTGATAATTGAGATGAAAGGTGTAACGCCGCTACCTCCGCTCAGCATCACGAGTGTGTCATGCCTGAAGCACATATTCTCTGTTATTATTTGCTTGGTAAGAAGTGGGCATAAAGGGTTTTAAATTTTTCATTGCAAAAACAAGGGAAGAGCTCATATTGTTTAGGCATTTTCTTTGGAAAATGGATTGAAGCAGGTCCATAAGGTCCTTCTATGGAGATCTCAAAGCGATTGCTGAAGGGGATGAAAGCTTCTGATACAACTCAGAAGACCACCTTCCTTCACTTTTAATGACAATGCTCAGCTTGTCAGGATCCATATTGCTGCTGGAGGTTATTGTAAAGGGATGCCACTGCAAATTGGAAATGCCAGGCACATTTACAAAAGGCGTGCTTGTCGGAGTGTAACTCAGTTCTGCCAGAATACGGAAGAAGAGGGCTCATAATCCCATGGTTTTTCTCTTTTATTTTTCTTTCAAGTAATACAAAGTGTTCAAGTATTATTAAAGTTCCATCAAAGATTCCAATCCCGATAGTATCTTGAAACTGGAAAGATTGCTAATTTTGCCAACAAGCAGAAAGTCACATATGAGGAACAAGTTTGACTTACCTGGGCCCTTGGAGAAATTCAACTCAACAGTTTCACAAGGTAAAATACGAGCTGAAACCAAGCTAATCCTTTGCGGGGATTGTAAGAGTCTTAGAGATCGATCTATCAAGAAAAGGTAGAAACCAGAAAGCATGATGCAAGAATAGGAGAACCCCACATGAAAGACGAAGAACACAACAAAGAGAATGTAGAGATGATGAGTATAATAGAAGAGCTCAAACATTTTTCGCCTTGTTTGTGGAAGGCTTGTTGCCCACATGGCTAATCCAGAGAGCAAAGCTATTTCTCAGGCCACATTTGAAGCATCGACCTTATCCCATTTAAGCACCTTCAAACAAGCACAATAATCTAATTTGCAACTTAGGAATTAATAGAACATGAATTGAGAGATCCATTATTCTTTTCAAACTATCAAGCAGCAAGTATCTAGCTGATCCATGGATTCATAGTCTTAACTCTTTGGACTCGATGTAGATGATCTGTAATCATTTAAATGTGTGAGATGTTAAAAATTGATGAAGTAGAGCATGTTCAAGTACCCCAAAAATGGTTCAATGGTTATTAAGCCTCTGGGACAAAGACTGACTGATGGTGCTTATGTCACATGTTGAAACTAAATTTTTAAGTTCGTGCGACTTCAAGATCTTATTATACGCTCATTTGGTGTCTTAAATTAGCTTAAAATCTATACATTATCTGCTTTAATCCCTCTGACCTTAGGGTTCCACATCTTTGTAAGGTATTATCTTTCTGATCCCTCTGATCTCACAGTTTTGTCTTACAAAAGATATTGCGCAAAGAGAGGGCGATGTGAACCCATTTATCTCAGGATCCTCTCTAGGATCGTGATATCATTCTTCACTTCAATGGAAGCCCACTATTCTCGGTGGCACATTGCTTGTGCCCTCAGAGCTGGCTCTGATATCACTTATTATAAGCCGAGACTCAATTTTCAAGCCCGTGAAGCTTCAGAACCCGAATATATACTTATCCGACATCTTAGATCAATCTAAGGTCTACACCCTTATAAGGTATTGTTTACTCTGACTCCTTTGATCTCATGATTTTATCATATCTCAAAAAGAGAGGGCAGTGTGAACCCATATATCCCAAGATCAACTCTAACATCCAGCCAATATGAGATTCATGGTTCCTCTCCAAGACTGTAACACTTACACTTTGCTTAGCTGCCTTTATGCTGAAAGTTTTTTGAATTTTGATATTGTAAACCTTCGTATTAAAATGATTCATTAATAATGAAAAGTAAACAAGAATGCTGTTATTTACCTCTGGTATCTGCCCTGTCTTGGCCCAGAAGATTAAGGTAACATAAACCGTGGGCTGGGAAAATGGTCATGGCGATATGCCTAAGCCAAATATGATACTTGATACTTGCTTTTGACGTAAGGCCAACAAGCCGCAAAACGGAAGATCCTCCAGTCACTGGGAAGAAGAGAAAAGCTAGGCAAATGTTGCCTACAAGACCAAGTGTTAGACCTGAAATCTCCAACTTAGCCTTCCACCTGCCAGGATAACCAAAACTGTCATCAAATTATGCCCTTCTGATTTATTATATTAGCCAAGAAAAAAGCACTGACACTACAAATTCAGTGGAATGAGATTCTTACACTAGCAGCTCACTCTTTGCAGCCAATTGGTCGATATGCACCAACATACCATTCAAGTAAGAAGTGGTTGACCAAGCTAACAGCATAATAAACATGACTAAAATAAGAGCTCCATCCAAGAAACAATACCGAGAGGACCTTTCACGATCACTGGTTGCTTCAAAGTGTTAAACCTAGATGTTGGGACATAAAACATATTTAAAAAATGAAAAAGCAATTGAAGTTTGAAGATGTATAATGATGTACCTATGAACGCTGTGATCCGCAAGTTCCTTTCCCAAATGAAGGTAAATACATCCCATTGTAGCAATGAAGAGGATGGGAAATATGTAAATCAGCATAGTTGCACCTATATCCAATTAAGATTGAATTAAAGAAAAAAAAAAAAAGAACTTTCTGGAGAGACTGTAAACTGACCTTGTCGTCCAATATGTGGACTTTGTTTTTGCATGGATTTCAGGCAACCAGTGTTCAAAATATGATTTCATAGGCATCATGATCCACAGCACCATGTACGCAAGAAAGATCAACACTAGGAAAAGCTTCATAACTTATCTAACCATCTTCATTTCGTTCTTAGAACCTCTCCTTTTTCACTGCCTATATTCCAATTGAAGCAATTAATTGTTCCACTTTAATATAGAAAGTATGCCATAAAATATAAAAAAATAAAATTAGCATAATATAATGAGCAGGGCGTATATACCACGTTTATCAGGAACAAATGCATCTGCATAATGGGTGTGCAGGCCAAATTATATGCCCGTTGTCGTACAATTAAGAATAAATCTATGTTCCAATTGCTGACTTGGGATTTTGGAACGTCAATTTGTAACGCCATGAATTTAGCGTTCATTCCAGTGCAATTGTCTTAATGCAATAGAGTAAGTGGTGAACATCTTTTATTTATTTATTTATCCTTAATTATTTAGCTTAGTCAATCCCAGACAGACAAAGAAACACCTAACTTTTATTATGTCAGTAAACAATTACTCAAGATACCTATTATTGCACTCTTTTGCAGGAAGGATGATTAAAATTTGGATGTGTTCCTTTGTTGTATCCGAAGATGAATCGTTTGAATTTTTTTTTTTTTTGTAAAAAAAGTTTTGAGATAGATAAATTATTTAAAATTTTAAATTAAATTAAAATGTATTATATTCAATAATTTAAAATAAATAATTATAAATTATATATTTGATACGATTCTAACAAATAATTATCAATAAGATTAAATCTTAAGGGTAAAACGAAATTAGTAATTGGTTGAATATTATTGATTGCTGCTCCCCTTTCCCTCGCAAAGGCTTGGGTGAATTAATGTTAGTTTTATTTGCATCTTGATGAACTGCATCTGCGTCTATTCAGACTTCTGTTGCTTTCACTTATATTCTTTTGCTTTTGGTCAAACTTTTGACTTATCTTTTCCTTGGTAAGTTAAAATAGCAGTAATAGATATTTAATTTAATTGATTTATATTATTATTTTCAAAAAATAATATTTAATAAATTTAAAATTTATAAGTTACAATCGTTTTTTTTTAAATAATATCTGATTGATATAAAATTTAAATATGAATATTTATAAATTACTGTGTTTGTAAAAAAAAAAAACTTAAATTGGAGTCTAAATAAAAAAAAGGAGCATGTTTTCTAAATTAACTATGTATTATGATAATAAGTCAGATTGATGCTTAGACATAATTTTTTAGATGAAAGTATTGCTTCAACTTCTTTAAGAAATATTTCCTCTACAGCCAAAGTCTGGAATTGGCGGACGTGATACCAATTTTTTCAGTTATCACTTCGTACTATAATAGTATGATCATTTTTTGTTGTGTTCTTTTTTTTTTTTTTTTTTTATGAGAATCACAGTCTTGAACTATACATAACAAAAAATTAGTACTACTATTAATTCCATAAAAAATTCCTTTTAATTTTTTTTTTTTCATCTTCAAAACCACGATTAATAACAAATCTGTCACATAATCAAAGCTAGATAACTAACAATAAAGTAAAAAAACAAAGTTACCCTTGGATTTATAGTATAGAGAAGACAAGTCTCAATTACAAACTTTCATGGAGATGCAACAGGATAACAGTTGCATTTATTCAATGATGAAATTACACAATAATAGACAAGGCAGGCAAATAACATAGATGAATCACAAAGTGAAGCTAATGGACTCAAAGTGCAGGTTATCTGCCAATCCAGATGCACAAATTTTTGCAACCTCGTGGCGCATCTTCCTCGGTCCACATGCAAGAACTCCAACATTTGATTCTTTTAATTCGAATAGTATTTCTGCAATGTTAAAAGAAACTATCAGTTCTCCAAATTTATCAATGCCAAGTTGGTTTTGCTGTCAAAGTGAATGCCATCAGCAGTAGTAGCAGCTTACTCTTAAGATCGGGTCTTGAACCAAAATGCACCTTGGTTGCTTGGGCAAGGGACTGAGTGGGAAGACTTATGAGTTCTATGTCTGCACAAGAAAACCATGTTCCTGGTGATGTTGTTGTTGTTGGTGTTGGTATTTCTTTGTTCAGGATTGGTTTCCCTTCCCTTGCAATCTGTTTCTTGCGCCAGAGGAAAATTACACTAGAAACAATGAAAATGCAAACACAAACAAGAAACATGTCCCAAAGTGCTCTAAAAGAGAAATGGTAGATTTGTTCAGTGTTGTGATCTATAGGATATATATAGTAACGAGTGACAATGCCCAGAAGAAGCAGGAACATAACAAATGATGATGAGATTATTGCGCCAAGCCATAGCCAATTGTTGGGGCCTAGTGCTGCAGAGATGGGTGAGTCTAAGGGGCATGGCTTAAACCTTATTGTTTGGAGAGGTTTCTGGGTGTTAGTGTTTGGCTGCTCTTTCTCTCTGGTGATGTATGCTTCAATCTGCAACTGTATTTGGGAAATTTCTGCAGGACTACCCGAGATGGGAAGCAGCAAGTCTAGCATGGCAAGGTCGGCTGAGTGCTTGAAGGCACAAATCATAACAACTCTTGGAACCTTGACATTTGACTTCTGGCTTTGGAAAATTATCTCTCGGATTATGGAGATAAAGGGAGCAACACCACTGCCTCCGCACACCAACACCAGAGACTCATGCCTGCATATGTTAACACGAATCAAACTCAATGAACAAACTGATCGAAAGCTTAGTAGTTTTTTGCTTTCGACTGACCTTAGAAAATTGGATGAACTAGGACCATATGGCCCTTCAGTTGAAATTTCAAGATGATCTACAGAGGAACAGAGATTTTGGTAAAGCTTCTGAGACCAACTTCCTTCACTTTTGATGACCACGCTGAGCTGATCCGGTTCCATGTTGGAATTGGAAGTCACTGTGAAGGGATGCCACTGTAACTTGGAAATTCTAGGCACATTTACAAATAATATGCTGGTTGGATTATAATACAACCCTGGGAGGTCAAAAGAAAATAATAAGATTTAAAGCTGAAATATTTCGGGATAAGAGTTAACCATTGGAGGATAGTTACCAGGAGTCTTGGAGAAGTTCAGTTCAACGACGCCACATGGTAAGAGGCGTGCGGATAATAGTCTTGCTCGGTGTCGTGATTGCAAGAATCTTAAGTAACGATCGATCAGGAAAAGGAAGATCCCAGGAAGGATCATACAAAAATAGTTATCGCCAACATGCAATAGATAGAAGAAGGTGTATAGAAGGTAGAGATGATGGGTGTAGAAGAAAACCTCAAACTTCTTTCGTCTAAAGCGAGGCATACTTGTCACCCACATTGGCAAAGCAATCACAATTGCAATCTCTCCAGCTACATTTGATACCCAAGTTTTGCTCCATTGCAGCATCTGCACACCCCAATATTTCACTTAAATCTTCAAACTGCAAATGTCCATGCAAGTGTTTGCATAATATGAATTACTGATAAACATATAATCAAGTATGTGTTTTACAATGCCAAACAACATGCACATTTCTCACATATGATGCAGTATTATATATCAAGATTTGGTTATATGTTTTCTCAAAACATGCATATGTTAGTTCGCTGCCCCTTCTCCTATATTTCTACGTCATGGACCTATCCTATAATCCATTCATTCTATGGCCCAACGACCATTTTGGGACGTCACACCCATATATAAGCCCATTATCTTATTACATTTTCAATTGACCGCTAATGCTCCTTCGTCTTTTTTTGCTACCCAAGATTAAAAAGCAAGAAAGTTCCCCAGTAGTCCTTTTTAGTCCTATGGCTTTTAGATCCTCTTCTGAAGTCAAGTGAAAGTCTGAGTGAAGTAAAAAGGGCATTAGTCGAAAAATGAATCTCATCTGTCCCTCTATGAATCCAAACCTCCCGAGCAGTCCCCTTTCCTTGCGTGGATATCTTTACTAGTGGATTAACCGCATCTCTCTTAAAGAAAGAGAAAGGACCCGGAAACGACTAAAAGACTAGTACCGTTAACTCCAACTGTAGCAGCGGTTATTGCCAACAGCGTCTAGTCCCAGAGCTTCTATTTACTCAAGACCAGATACGCATTCAGTTAGCCTTAAATCACTTATATTATTAAGGTTTATTTTATCTAAAAAAATGAATTTAGATTTAAGCATGTATGAAAGAGTGACACTTGTCACCAACTATGATAAACAACAAAAGAAAAAGAAAATGTTCTATCAACAGGATAATACAAAATAAACCACTCAATCTTTCTTCCTTTATAGAAGGTAAGACAAAAGAAAGGGAGGGCAGAAGGAATCTAAACTCTTTCTTTCTTTGTTTTTTTTTTTGCCACTGTCTAACAGGAAAGACAACACATTGCTATGCCAACAGAGAAAAGACAGACAACCATAAAAGATTGTAGATAATAAAGTGATTCCACACCTTTCATTTCCTCACAATAATGAGGATAGAATAATATTTATTGACTAAGAACTTACTATAATTTATTATTATTTGAGTTGAAATACCTCAGTCATTTGATTAGTCATGGCCCAGTAGGTAATGAAACCAATAGTATGCGCAGCAAAAAGGATGTTTGAGACATGTCCAAGCCATATATGATACTTGATGCTAGACTCTGAGGTAAGCCCAACTAGAGGCAAAAGGGATGATCCTCTTGTTACAGGGAAGAAGAGAAATGCCCAGCAAATATTCCCTATGTATCCAAGTCTTAGTGATACACTTCGGAATTGAGCTTCCCATCTGCCAAAGTTTGATATCAGGTGATTGAAATCAAGGTATATATATTGTAATGGAATTAAACTGTTGCGAGCCTACTAATTAAAACTAGATAAAAATATCCAAGCACGTGTATAGAACATCAATTCAAGCTTAGAATAAACAAAAATTGGTTCACATCTCAATCCGTACATTTTCTCGCCTTGTTTATGCATGTGCAGGTGTCCAAAGCTGACATACAAGTAGTTGGCGAGGGACCAGATCAAGAGAGCAACAAACATGGCAGCAAAAATCAGCTCCAATGCAGAAACAATTCCAAGGGGAGCCATTACGAGCACCGGTCGTTTCAAGAAGGCAGTAGCACTATAACCAGGTCTCCTTTTAATTAGTTTAAATGAATATCCATATATATATATATATATGAATCACATAAGATAAGAGATCAATTAATTCTCTTCATAATAAATATTACAACCAGAAAACGGATAAAAAAAAGGGAAGGACTGGAAGACTGAAGAGAAATCCAACCTTTTGGAGTAATTGGACCCTCTTGATTTCTTCCGAAAATGGAGATAAGCGCAACCAAAAGCAGCTATGAACATCACCGGGAAAGAAAACAGCAAAAGATTTGTCCCTGTTAAAATGTCATGATAAAGTCGTGGGATGACATGTAAACAAATCAAAAGAAGAAGAGTCAAACAGTAGCAGCAGTATCAACAACAAGAAAAACAACCTCGCCTCGCAAAATACGTTGAAGTGAGCTTGCTGTCTAGATTGGGTGTCCATGTGTTTTTGTAAAGTTTCGTTGGCAACATAACCCAAATCATCAACCACCCAAGAAAAACCACAAGGAAGATCATCCGCAACATTGCGTGGCTGCTCATCTTCTCTCCTTAGTTAGAAGTAGGAAATAAAGCCAGACTGCCTGAGGCTCCTTTAACCGTATATATATCGGAATACCGAATGAACTTTGATGTTGTGTGTGTGTATATATATATATATATATATATATATATATGCACAAGTATATCTTCCAACGAGGATTTAAAGAAAATTAGCAACTTTTTACGTAACCATAATTAGCATTGGCTTTAGCATTGGTTTTCTTCAAATTCATTTAGATGCTTTATTTTACCACCAGCAATCAAGAAAATATGTCAATCTGAGTGATATATATGTCCCAAAAAAGAAAAAAAAACCATAGGAGTGAATGCATACTTATAGATAGATTAATTATATGTCTTTCACTTCTTAACCTATTGACAAAAAAAACTTTAAAGAAGATATTAGAGTTTGGGTTCGAACCAAACCTACCCCTCTCCCTTTTCATATAATAAAACGTTATCATCCTTTGAACCAAAAAACAAAATATAGATTAAATATACGCTTCAAATGCAAGTACACAGTTGATTTTAATATTTAGTAATGATAGTACTTAATAGTACGAAAGAACTGCTTGAAACTTTCCTCCCTTACAATTTGTTGGCTGTTTACCTATGCAAAATCATAGCATACATTAAGCAGATGACTCAATGTGTGTGTGTGTATATATATATATATAAACCCACAAGTTTCTGCTATTTTTTTTTATCATTTTTAATTTTGAATTTTATAGTTTCTTTAAAATATCATGGACTTCTTGTGGGCAAACAAAGTCCTCACAAATAATTTTGATCACCAAAATTCTCTTTCATCCCTGTCTAGTGCATGCCTTGTCTGCTAGTATGCCTTAGTTCATCAGGTGGGCCAATGATTTTTGCAATATTGAGTAATGTTAGATGTGTAGGAAAACAATAAGGGTTTCAAGTCATCAAAAATATCAATGCAAGACCGATTGATCTTATCAAACAGTAGTTTCAAGTCTTCAACCATGAGAAAAGAAATTTCATGTTCATGAATAAATTAGTTGTACAGAATGGGATTTACCAGTATGTTGGATCAGTAACAATTACAAATTTTTAAAGACCATTGTTCCCAAACCAATGCCAAGAAAAGTTGCAATGGAGGTTCCAAAAATGCCTGCAAGGATTCCTGGGACAACCACAGAGCCCCATCCTTTGGCTGTGGCCATTCCGCATGCAGTAGGAGGGCCGCCAATGTTGGCATTTGATGCCAAAAGTAATAGCTTTAAATCAAAACGAAATAGCTTTCCAAGTCCAAGAATCAAAACAAGATGGACAGACACTTGAACTAGAGCAAACAAGAAAATACTGGGTGCTGTGCTGATGACATTCCATATGCTCCCATTAGCACCCACCACAGTAAAAAATACCTGCCATGAAAAAATACATGCAAAATCCATTCAGTTCGTTTACACTTATTTTTATAACAAGGTAAATGCCCCCGGGATTTTTTATACATAGAGTCAAGCTACAATTGCATATTGTTGAAGCAAATCAATCAGAATTGGAAATATTCAAACCTGCATTAGAACCAGAGCATGCGTATCACCAGCGTGCAAGATTACCAAACACTGCAGGGAATAGAGTTGCTAATATTACAGTAATAACTGTTACTCCAGCAAGGATGCCCCCTTCAATCTTGAACAAATTTGTAGGATAAGAGGCAGTCTTACATATCAAAAAGGATATAGCATGAGCCATAGCAGTCTGGAGCACAGGGATTTTACCTCCCATGTTAGAATCCAAATTCATTTCAACATCTACCAAAAACATTAAAAGGTTCTTACAGATCAGCAATACTATGATATAATTTATCCATATTTGATTTCAATTGTCTAAAAAAATCACGCTAAGTATGCAATCTATTAAACACAAAAGAAAATTAATCAGTAAATTCCGTTTTCTGGTGCAAACAGCAATCTAAAGCTGTTGTGACTTAATTATTGCAAGAGGGAACCGGGAGAAATGGGTGAATGTTTAGTAAAACATCATGATATGAAGAAGTCAAGCTATGTACCATTTGTTGATGTTGAAGCCTCAGGAGCTACTTTAGAGGCTAATGCAAACAATACCATAAAGTGTATACAAATAACATTGTCTGCGGCAACTCCAGCTGCCAAAACCGATGGAGAAATACCCAGAGCCTCTGAAATTGCAATGTAGTTAACAGCTACAGTGATCCAACAGAAAGTGCTCAGTTACGAGGCATACTTTGAATTGAATTTTGATAAAAGAATATCATATTTGAGGAAGGCATTCTCAAACATGTACTAATCTAAGAAGGTGTTAAAATAAATGAATAAGATTGCTCTTAATTACACTGTTCCTAAACTGAACAACTGTATATGTCTCAAAAATCTTCTAATCTAAGAAGATGCTAAAGTACAGGAACAGCATTTTAAATACATGTTCAATCCTATTCGAACACTTCTAGCACCGAACATATTTCAAAGTTCAGGGCCAGTGAATTTTCTTCCCAACCTTTGTAGTGTCAAAGAAAAGTTAATGTAAGTTCAAAATCCAGGGATATTTATAGAATATCAATGGTGTTAAATGGTTTTATCTGTAAATACTTGAGAAATGCTGCTGCTACGGCTACCTCAACACATGCTTTAGACTATTGTCAAGTTGTCACATTTCCTTGCCTTTGTATCAAATAGCTCTAAGAATAAGAAGCACTAAAATTTCCAGGCAACTTACATCCACCAACATAACTACCCATGAGGGCAGAAGCTATCTTCCAATTATCTGGACCAAGTGATCGCATAGGCACCATCAGAAAATCCACTAGAGTCCAAACTATAGTTGAAACTGTCATCCAAAAGCATAAACAAGGGTTACTACGAATTATTTTAAAAGTCAAACATAATATTTAAATGAAAGAAAATCCAGTCCCTTCCATATTACTAATTCACATATAAATAAATTTGACAGAATACATGCTACTAGTTTAATAATCTACAGTTCCCAATCACAAAGGATGAACCTAAATCAACCTATTAGATTGGTTGTTTTGCCTAAGCCTTACTCTTAGTTTTCCATATTTCTTTTCTTGTACCATAATTACAGTGGAAAACATGAATAATCACGGCTTCAAGCACAAGTCTCACAGTATCTTGACTAGGCAAGAACCCAAAAGTTCATTGCAAAAGTTACCAATAAAAGACTAGTACCTGTTCTAGGCATTGGATGTCAAAGATGCAGAGCCTCAACAAGTAATGAGTTATATTAACTACTTGATACCTACAAGGCCATGCCCACTGTTTTAGCAGTGAGTATACTCAGCGGAACTAACAGGAACATAGCATGTAATCATTATAATATAGAGTACATCATAAACCTGCAAAAATTAAATATTTTTCTCTGTTTCCTAGTAAAGGTATTCAGAGTAGAAGATGATAAAAAATGCCAAAGAAGAGGAGGATTTTGAACCATCAATGCATTTGCAATGTAAACAATCCCCTTGCTGGAATTCAGTCATTATCAAAGTAATTATCCTAATATTGAATTTATTTTTTGAAAATATCTAATAGTCAGTAACATTTTAATTAACTCCGACAGTGAAAGAAACTCCCAACCCCCGCACTCAAATTGAATTACATGAACATAAATTCCATTCCAGATCAAGAGCAATAGTACGCGTGGACAATGGACATTCACTGAACAGGAACATATGGGAGGATCATCCTTGAATATCATAACTTAAACAAAGGGATTTTCATTAAAAGGTATAAATAAGTAAAGAATATATAGGATCGTCAACAAGTCCTACTAACCTGATCCAAGCAAGAAGGCAAGCAGCAATGTCCCAGTTGAGCGTATGACGCGCCGCAAATCTGCTCCAAACAATAGTAAAGGAACAGATAATGGTAGCAAAAACCGCATGAAAAGAGAATAAGCTGGTGCTTCAAAAGGAATTATGCCCAGATTGCTAGCTGTCAGCCCCACCAATGTGCTCACTAATGCCGCACTCACCATACTTCCAATCTTTGTCTTCTCGGACCTTAGCAGATATTCCATAAAATATACAGTAACGGAATTTTTTTCTTTTATTTTTTTCGGGGATAAATTACACTAACTGAATTTAGTAACTCTCCATTAATAAACTGAATTAAAAAAAAAAAAAAACAATAGTGTTAGGGCATATTACCAGAGACCAAAAATGGCCAAGAGAGCAGTCCACGTGCCCCAGTGGTCTTCAGGAGAAATGATTGGATATCTAAGCAGTGATCGAACCTCCACATTTCGGGACTTTGATATTAAAGATGGTGAGAGAAGCGATTTGTTAAGCTTGCGTTCTGATACGAAAGAGCGAGGTTTGGAAGTAGGCGTCCTGTTGAAGCAGTTACGAGGTTATAGCGGAAAGAGTGAGGTGACAGGGAGAGCGAAGGGACTGGCGGGGAGGTGGGGAGGGGTACGAGAGATGAGGATAAAGCGAAGGACGCCATTAATGGTGGAGGGTTGAGGCTCATGCGCTGCTCTTCCCGTCCTCTGGTTATATTACAGTTTGACTTTATTATAAAAATAAATTTGATTTTATTATAAAAATAATCATTTACAATATATTATGAATCTATTTTAATATTAGATAAAAAATTAATAAAATTTTATATTTAATTAATTTATTAATATATATTAAAAGCAAAGTTAAAGCTAGTATAAAACTAATTATTAATAATAGTAAATTAAATTATAATTTAGAGGTATACTATATTAATAATAATTTTAATTCAATTAATTTTTATACTTTATTTATATTAAGATTAATTATATTTAAGCAACTACCCTTGATGAATTTAAGATTATTTGCATTATATTAATTAATTTAATATAATCTACTATTTAACATTCTAATTAGATATTTGATCAATTTGTGCATATTCAATGTTATTATATTTATGTTAATGTCAAAATGATGAAATTGGTGCTTTTTAAATAATGTTTACTATTCAATTTGTGAAATTTTGGTCAATTGGTGTAATGAACCTAATGATTATATCCAATGTTATTATGTTAATATCAATTGATGAGTATGATTTTTTCTAATTT